AGGGTGACATGCCGGGAAGAACAGCCTTGCCCGTGGGCTGATTGCCGTGAGTGCACAGGGAACGCTTCCAGGTTAAAAATAAACATAAAATAAATAAAATAAATAAAATAAATTAATTAATGAAAGGTTTCAAACCAAAGCTGGTGTCTCAGCCGGATTCTCCACCAGCGGAGGTTGTCCCTTGGCTTCCGCTGGAAGGGCAGGAACCTGCTGCTGGTTCCTCTCGGCTGCGACTCCCGCCTGCAGCTCTGTCGGGCTGAGCCAGCCCGAAAAGTTCCCACCAGGAAACGTCCCCATTTTGCCGGTGTTCCCCGTGACACTTCGCCAGGTGCAGGATGCACCGTGTGCCTGGATGCAGGCACGCACGGCTGGGCCATCGCCTGCTTCGCCGTGCCTGCCAAGGGGGCCTGCAACGGAGAGGGCTTCCTTAAATACACTACGGGAGGGCCGGGAGCGAACCGCCTCTGCAGAGGAGCAGCCAGCCCACGCCGCCTTTTCAAGCTGCTCTTACTTCACCTGCCCTCCGAAGCAAGACCTGTGCTGCTTTTCCTGAGTTCACAGCGCGCACCAGGCTGCTCCTGTGATTTTAGCCGAGCTCCAGGGCCGGGCAAGGTGGGACGTGATGGTGGGACAAGCTGCTGAGACGGGGCAGGAGCTGGGCACGTGGCCCTGCATCCCTCCAGCACCCGGCACCAGTGGCAGGTATTTGGGGGGGGAGGGGGGCTCAGCAGAGTGCTTACGTGCGGCTACATGAATCGGTGCGGTTTATGCGGATGCAATCTGCTCCAACACCCGAAAGCAAATCCAGAGACAAACAGGTCCGGTCAAACCGGGGCCACCGGGGCCGTGGGCAGGTGGGTGCACGTTCCCCGTCAGCAAATGTTGCAATAAGGCAGCACAAGCCAGCTGCAAGCTGCTCTTCCTATGCCACAGGGACAGCAGGACAGCGGAAGCCACCGGCAGATCCGGCTGGTTTTACACACAAGAGCTTTTTCCTTCCACCCCCAATTTTTCCGTGTTCCCAGTGGGTGCGGGGGCTGCAGCTGGGGCACACGGCAGTGCGTTGCCACTGGCACGGATGGGCAGGGTGCAGCCAGCGCTGCCTTCAGGGCCTTTATTCGGCAGCGAGAGCCAGAGAGGATCAGCGTGGAGTTGTGGCAGATGCTTCGGCAATGCGGTGGGCGCCCGCCGTGCAAATACTTCTCGCAGTAAGGAGCTGGCATGGCAAACACGAGGGTCTCCTGGGCTGGGGGGAAAATCCTGCGGTGGAGGGAGACAAGCACAGCCGCCTGCAGCAGCTGGAGGGGTGTGCAGGATCAGGCCCAAGTAGCGGTGGCAGAAATGCAACTTGTACAGCGGGGGGCTGGACGTGCGATGGCAGCAACGAGCCGCAGCCCAGGAGGCGCGACACCGCTGAGGCTTAGCACGGCTCGCCATTGTTTTATGCAAAAAAATTAAAGTTTGGGCTTATTACATTCCAAACTTCTCCCCGCACCGACTGTGAGACGGGGAGGTTTCCGGCTGATTTTTCCTACGGCATCTTTTCCTAAATGCCCCCTTTGTTTATTTTTTTCTGGTGGTTTCGTAGCTTTTTTTGCTTTTTTTTTTTTGCTATTTTATGGCTCTGCTTTCCCCTGGCCCAACGGGAGGCCGGGGTGAAGGCTCACCCGGCACGGCGTAGCGGGAGGAGACCCACGGAAGGCAGGAGCAGATCTTGGCTCCCCCCCAGCTCCCCGGGCCGCGGCCGGACCTTTCCTCGCCCCCGGCAGAACAAAGCGCCCCATTGTGCGGGGGAAATGGGAAGGAAAGCGTGACGGGGCAGCGAGAGCCGTGCCTGGAGGAGGTTTCTGCAGGGACCGGGCACCCACGGCCTCGCAGAGGGGTCGCCCACCGCCTGCGCAGGCGCCGGTGGCCGCTCCCCATTTTCAGGTGGCTCCGTGCCAGCCCCCGAGCTCGGCTGTGGCACTGCGTCCGGCCCGGCCGTGGGAGGCAGCTCACGTCCAGCAGTCCCGGATTTTCCCACATGCCCCTGTTTTTTTGTGGCGGGGGGGGGCGGGGGTGGGGTGGGGGGGGAGGAGGGGTCTTTCCCCCCGCCCGA